TGCAGCTGAGAAGCATTTCTAGTAACAGCAACTCTCAAATTTGCGCTTAGAAGAGGCTTCTAGGATAAATTTCTTGTGTCAGGTTTTCGTTACAGGTTCTCTGAACATCCTTCCCGATCTCCTGCCTTCCCTTGATTCGCTAGCTGGCTTCCGCTTTGGTGAGTTGAGAGTAGGCTATCACACTAACCAAAATTGTCGCTGGCATCTTATCTATGTATTTGAGAAAGCAAGATATTTGAGTCAACAACTTTCAGACCCGCTCTATAGCATTTACTCAACAGTAAGTAATCAGTAGGTAAGTGAATCTGCAGCGATCATGCTGTTGTTTGCTAAGCAGCTTACGGGCTCTTATCCCCGCATCACAGCATACCGCCGTCGATGTGACTACCTCTCGTGCTCGTCTCTACTGCTCCCTCCTCATTGACCGAATATCCAGCTCTTTTTCATTGCCACCTTGAGTGCCCTTCACCTTGATTACGGTACTGTCCTTTGTCTGCCACCGACTGTGCCTAGCAGGTCGGAAAGTGTCAAAATCAAGGCGGACAGGCGTTGGGACCTTGCAGCGCTTTGAAGTGCGGTTATAAACGCATTTATGTTCTTTTACGACAGCAACTGTTCGCAATTACGGGGATCCGGGAAACTATTCACTGGCGAGAATTGCTGAGATTAGTGAAGCATTTCTAGTAACTTACACTTGATTTTCATCCTCCCGTTTTTACGCGAAGAAAGTGTCTCCCACTTTTTTTAACGATTTCTTTTTTTTTGAGAGTCTTATATAAATACAATTGCAGTTTTCGCATGATGGAGCCTTGCAAATCTCCCACTAAGTCTATGCGGGTCAGTGTTCCTCATGAGTTGTACAGTTTAGGGCTATCTAAGCGCAGGTGGTTGTTTTTTCCTGCGGCAAGCTCTCTAATCTGTTTATTGGGTGAATATCTGGGTACCAGTGATTGCAGTCAGCGGGAGTTCTGCTCAATGAAGGTTTTGTTTTTGCAGGAGTACAGAGTATAAGATGAGTTTTCTCGTTTCATCCCCTCAAGCCAATGCTTAAATTCACCAAGAATGCGCAATGTCATTGGAAGCCACAATCCGACCCAAAAATGCTTCCTAATTGTGTTTAGAAAAATAGAATTTGCTTGAACCTGGTCCCAAAAAGTTGGAATTTTTCTATCTCAAAAAAGACATCTTTAGAACTAGTCGTACTCCATTCAGAAGTCAAGATAACTTTTTGTATTCGAAGATTTTCCAATTATTCTCTTCTCGATGCTTATAAGAATGAACCGTGCATAAGAAGTCTTCATTCAAAATTGTCGAGTATTCTATTCTGATCCCACTAAGAATCAATCTAGCTATAATTGATGTCGCAAAGAAGCTTTTCCTAACAATCAAAGAACCTCTAACAAGAAACTGGACGACGGATGCATTGAGCCACTACGACGTGTCACGACCGGTATCGCATTTCAAAGCCCACACGTAGAATGGGGCTTCTCTCCTCATTGACCGAATAAACACTTCTTAAAGAGGGCCCAAGATGCAGAACAAAGCTCAGGTCAGAGGTGTGAGTTCCATTGTGTATTTGTAGAGAAAGTGGTTGATTTTCGTAGCGCATGTAACATGCGTAGTCCCTGAACCTCGGTCATTTACCTCAGCCCATTACGACGCAAAAGGTGACCGACACCGGAATTACGCTGTCCTATTGGTGCTCAACGAGAATTATGATGCCAACGGCCACGCTTTGAAGCTTCGTGGGCCGCTCAAAGCGATGACCATTCGCACTAAATTAACGCTTGAGCGACAGGTGTTTGAGTAGCGTGGAACATTTCTCAGTAAAGGCGTAAGTCCGGTGTAAAGAGCCTTTGGCATCCGCGCTATGTCGGCCTGTCCTTTATGTGGAGTTTTAGACTTTCGGGTGAGTCTGAGGAAATCGTAAAACCTTGAGACACGGCTCTTTTCATAAAAGTTTCCGAAAACTAATTCGCAACGCCCTCGCGTAGAAATCCTTGTTGGTTCGCTGCGAGAAATGTTAGGTTTGCCCATTGCGAAAATAGAAACGTCACACCAACTTATGGCATAATAGCAGACTTGAGACTTTCTACATACTTCGTACAGGTTAAAAAAAACTCGAACCGGTTTGTGCCAACAAAATAGCAGAAACATATAGATACAGATCAGGTAAATGATCGAGACTCCACATTTCGTGCCATCATACATATGCTTACGGTGCATATAAACACAGCTCTCTTCCCTTTCAATGGAATTGCCATATGCACGGCTTTGCCCATCATATTCTTGAAAAAATAGTGATAATTCGGTGACGTTGACTTGGCTTTACTCACCATCTCCTGTTCAGTTTGGTTAGACAGTTTAGGTAATTGTTCTTTTCTGTTTCGCAAGTTTCATAGCACTGAATACTTTTATTATAACAACTACTAAATATTTAGTTTTAGCTTTCTACATAGCAATCTACAGTTTTCTTCTTGTTGTATTGTAGTTTGAGCTCAGTTTGCTTAATTTCTCAGCTCTCCTTTTCAATCAGCAGCGCTAGTTCGAGCCTAAGAATTCGACACCACGAACTGGGGAAAAACACCTTGAACTTAGTTAGGTACCACGCAGATCTTTATCGGTCGCTCCTCTGCCGTTAAAATGGACCTCGCTTGTCAGAATTATCGTTTTGCGCAGCTAGCAAACAAGTGTTTCAAGTTTGAACTCATTTCCATCCTTCTCTTCGCGAAGCGTGTAAGCATGGCGAAGAGGTTTCGCCTTGGGCCTTAGGCCCCGGGCAGACTTCACGCGATTTGACCGTCGCGACTGAATCGCGACGAGACAACTGTTACAACATCATTCCATGCCGATCAACTTGCATTCGGTTGTGATACTTTTCCAGCCCGAAATTTTTGAATGTGAAATGAAAATGAATGGAAATCTTGGCGATTAGATCGCGACGATTAAGTCGCGTGAAGTCTGTCCGGGGCCTTAGGCGAGTTCACGCGATTTCATCTCCTCGCGATTCTCCCTATACAGCAGTTACGAGTCCATTGCATTCGGTCATCTTGCATTTCGGTTGTGATAGTTAGTCAGAATAGTCGTGTAGTAAAACTTTCACAACCGAAATGCAAGATGATCGGCATGCAGTGGAATCGGTGTTGTCTTGTCAAAAGATCGCGCGGTGATGGAATCGCGTTAACTCTCAGGAAACCTATTGATTATTGAGCTTTATTGATGGTTCGGTTCTCATTATTTGCGTATGCTTACCATAGATCTAACAACTTTTTGTGAAAAATAAATAGCACCATTGAAAAAAAGACAGTACCATGGTATTTTTAATTCAATACTGTTTCCATAGTTGTGCTAAGAATATACGCATCAAACGTGATTAGTCGTCTGTTATTCACCATCCGCCCAAAATCTATCACTTTTGTGTGAAAAAAGCTCGGAATGATTTACATGATCGCCAGCGACTGATACACAGGTTAGTCTTAATTGAGTATGCTCCAAAAAATTTTGGAATCTCGCATTTTATCGCGGAGGTAGTTTGTATTTCCTAAATAGCGCGTTGCAACAAATCGTTCATAGGTTTGTGGAGGTTCTCTTTGAGTGCTAATGAAACATAAATCAGCAGGAGAACTTTCGTTGAAACTCTACTTTCACGAAGGAGTTGTCTTACATTTCATGTGATAAGTGCAGTGTGAGTGCGCTTACTTCCGGCAGGTGTGAGACTGGGAGTATCCCCTGCAGCGATGCATTGGCGCCCTGGTGGGAGTTCGTTCCCACGATTTACAAGTGGGATTGCTACTTTCCCAACCTTATAGGTCCAACCCCTACTTTGATAAATCCAAGGAATCTCTTAATAGCGTTACATCAGGACTGGCGTTCACTTGAATCTCATCTTTCCTGCGCTTTGATTTGCTTACGGGCAGTATTCTTTCATTGTGTTTACGATCATGTTTGTGGGGCATAGCGAAGTTTGCAGAGCGGTTTGGAGTAGTCTAAAGTTATCTGATTTCACACTCAAAGCATGTGTTTGACGAGCGATATATATCAATTTGAGCAAAGATGGTATCTCAGGCTTTGGTATGGCCAGTTTAGATTAGAATTTGCGATAACCAGGACTTTCCGGCACTTTTGCATATACTAAAGGGTGCTTTTTCTGTTGTTCGGATAGAGCTTTGGAGAGTGTTGCAGTATTGTTTACTCAAGAACCCTTGATCGAAAGCAGGGATGATTCGCGTAATCAAGCTTTTGTAACCTTCTCAGCACTAGCCGAATTCAAGTCTATCAAATTCGGTAATTTTGAGATATAAACCAAAATGTTCAGTTCCCTTATCCGCTCGAGATTTATGCTCTGTATCTCCTTTACATACCCATATTTCTCACATCCTTCTTCAGTCTCAGCAATAATCGTTTGGAGTCAAACCTTTCGCGCACATGTTTAAGCTCCCATAATCAAAAGGGGAGGGAGACGGTGCAATTAGGCCCTTACCTCGGCTCGGGGTGTATGTCAAGAGGCGCGATTTTTATTGCCAGATGGATACCAAACAGTACATAATAAGTGTTTTACAACTTTCTAAAATTATTCAGAGTTTAGAAGAAGATATATCAGATAGTTGCATGGGTTGCTTGACCTTGCTACCTTAGAGTCAATTCAAGACAGCAATTTTGAAGGTCAAAAACCCATGAATGCAGTCAAGAACAAAATTGGAAATATTTCGGTCCATTTTCCAGCAAAAGCCATCAAACTCAGTAAGTGGTTACCTCAGACAGATAGTAAGCCAATGCACTTTATCTGGTACTTTTTGAAGACTCACACAGCATGATACTGGGGTTTTAGTTGGTGACAGCCAGAGAAATCGCGCCTCTTGACCGTCTCCCCCTCGGCTCCACCCCTCTCAGGTCACCATATAGAAAACTCTATCCGTGATGTTCGCCATGACCCTTTTTACTTTCTTTTACTCATTGCAGATGAATAATTTGAACCACAGCGACTGCATATGTTCTTACAGATGTTGGCATTGCTAATTTTGCTACCAGTTATTCTGGCGGAATCATTCTGGATGACCGCCGAGCTGTTGCAGGTGGATTGGAGAGAAGGATGCCTAACCACCGCCGGTTGTTTCCAGCCCAGATTCAAGGTTCGAAATCAAACTTTGTCTTATTACTATAGCTTACCCCTCGAATTTCAAAGTGCGTTTTCAGGTACTTGAAGAAATGTTACCAATTACCGAAAAAATTTCTATCAGTTGGCCTATCTCGGAGCACTTTGTACAGGTAAGAAAACTATCAATTGCTTTACTTTCTGAGTTTCTGTACAAGGAATGTCTTTCGAGTAAAGTGCCATTATAATAAATGAATTTTTTTGGCTTCATTGTGGTTTTTATATACCTCTCAACTTGATATTGCTCTGATTTATCGCTATACGCACTCTTAATGCGACCAGGGCAGATGAGTATCGTATTTTTCTTACTTGCGCGCACATTTGTATCCTTACGCCACTAAGCGGCCGCTTTGTGAAGTGGTATAAATGGTCCGTCAATCAACGATTGCGTAAGGAACCTATTATAACTTCGAGAAAGTAGGTCTAATATTTTGGAATTTAGAACAACGGCTCTTAAAAATTGACATCTGTAAATTACGAGTTCATGTAGTAAATTTGTTCAATTTTTTTGAGCTTTTCTCACTATTTTACAAAGCATTTGGAGAAATTTTTGTATGTGTAGCAATTTGCAATCATTATTTTCTCAATTCTCAATCAGTCGATCAAAAAAGTCTGCAAACCGAAAAATCCGAGAAGGCAAACTCCAGTGATCATTGACTAAATTTATCCAAAAAAAACCTGACAACAATCAAAAGCAACAGACTAATCACTTGTGCATTTTTTGCTACTGTTTACTGCTTCCTCATTTTCTTTCAACGATTATTTAATGCCATTTTTGCACAAGTTTTCGGAGAAAGACTTTGCCTCAAAGGCGCATACGTTTCGCGCACTTGAGTTGTGTGTCCACCAAAATCTGAATTTTGGAGTGAGTAACCCGTATATTCGATGATTTTAGACAAAGATCCCGTTGTCTGCCGAATCTGTATTGTTCGGTGACCATACTCTCTCAGGGTTCTTCAGATGCCTAACCTAGACGCCAAAGATATGTCAAAAAGCAGACCTATCTTCGAACTTGTAATACAAATTATGGAAAATTTTGCACCTTTAAGTAGCTTGCATAGGTACAGCATTCTATTCTATACGTCGCCAATTTTTTGAGGTATTTTTCAAGCATCCAAACCAATTTAAGACGCCATGTAAGATAGTTGTCGAAAATGGAATTTTTGCTCGGATTTTTCGGTTTATAGTCGAGTTTTTCATTCAACTTGTTAAGAATTGGAAGACGATGATAACAGTTTGTTAGAACAGACTTAGGGCTTCCGAATGCATACATATTCTGCCAAAGTTTTGCTACTGAGAAAAAATTTTAAAAAAATGCGAACGAACTTATTACATAACCTAATAGTTCATGTTACTGCTGAAAAACAGAAGTGCCTTCTTGCACCCCGAGTGCATGTCAACATATCTTTTATTTGAGGATTCCTCACGCTCGTTTGTGTCTCATTGGGCCAAAGGTAAACCAGAAGATCTGACGCTGTCTTGCCAAGTGGTCGGAATTGACCCGACCTATGGCTTTCCACGAGTTTGCGACCAGACGGCGACAATTCGCGTTTTCCAAGAAAGAGTTGCTGAGACAGTGAGTTCTTACGCTTGATCCACTAATTACTGCTAATCATTCGTGACACCATTCTCTCAAACAGAAGCAGCTGCTATTGCGCAATGGGATTTTTTTTGTTGCTACTGTTTTAGTACGTGACCCAATGGTTACAGGGCCGGAATCGACGTCATCAGGATATGCCTACGACAGCTATCTCGGAAGAGGAGTTGGGCAAGAAGCTGATCGAGATTCGAGCCAAGTGCTTCAATGCCACTCTTGCTGTACAAAAACATACTGAAAGATGCCCATGGTGCCCGGATCCCTCCGATGTAACACTAATTGAACAAAGGGTTAGTGGACACTCCTCCTTCGGAATCAAATCAAATTAGTAAAATTCAAATCAACACTTTACTTTCCTATCACCCATGATTCCTTCTCAAAAAAAGCTTCATTTCTGATTATCTCGCAGTCAGATTTGTGAATAATTTTGAAACTCAGCGCTGCTGCTCCACAATTTATTATCTAATGTAAAGAAAAAAAGATCTTCACTGTCATGGTCTTGCGCATCAATTCCAGCGCTTAAGAAAGTAACATTTCCTCCGTAGACCATATTTGTCGAATGACCAAACGAGTTGCCAGTGTGGCCTGAGCGAGTTTCCTCAGTAGCGCGAAAAATCCCTGCTGTGAGGTCACACACTTCTACCATAGTCACCAATAACTCTGAATGTCCCTGAAGTTGAGATTGCAGTTGCCAGAAGACACTTCCCAATCAACTGCGATTTTCTCACAATTGAAAAGAGATGAAAAGTTACTGCATGTGTGCGTTCTGTTACTGGCAGGAATTGCTGTTCTGGCATCTTTGGGCTTCGCTTGTGTACTGGTTGCTTTTCTTCGCCAGAAAAGGTTTGTGAAGTTGTCTGCATTTCGTTTATGAAAAGTACCAGTGCTTTTTAAGGACTCATTGCCATATTTACGAGAAGCCGCTGCATCATCCTCCCCCGTCAACTTGGAAGACCGATGGACACGCAAGGTTAGCACCTTAATCTCTACCATTTTTTGTTACGGTACTAATGCTGCGTTCATACTGATCCGGAAGTCCGGAAAGAGTATAAACGCAGCCTAAAACTTGTAGTAATGCTATATCTCATCGCATAGCGTTAAGATGTGGTCGACATGCATGCTCTGATCGCAATGATGATAAATAGGCATCATCTCACACCTTACTAGCTCATGACAGATACCTGCAGATAACCAAAATTGTGAGCTGGATAGACATCTTTTTTAGGTACGGTATACCTTGGGAGCAGACTCGTCCGCTCACATATAAGCTGTCACCATCGTCGAAAGCCGAGGCCACAACCACATCGCCGCTCGACTCGGTGTCGACACTCCATGGCTCGCCTCCAGTTGTCATCCCATATGGCTTCCGATCAGGATGTACAATACCGCAGACAAACCTCTACCACGATATCGCCCCTAACTCTCCCATGACAAAGCATGACTCTGGGAGAGGCTCAATATGAGTGCGTTGGGATATCATACCGAACTGACTCAAGTACGTCGTTAAAAGCAGTTCTTTTTGTAATCTGTTATGTGCGTTTTTAACCAAATCTACTAAAGATGCGCTGTTGTCACCTTTCGGACATGTACACCCAGTACCATATGCTGCTAAACGGACTGTATCAAGAATGGCCAGGATGAGGGCGCATATTGCGACGATTGGAACTAATCAAATAGTTCGAGGACGTGACCCTTGTGAAAAACTGAGATAATGCACTTTGTAAGTTCAATACTGTGTTCTTATCTTACAATTAGAACATCATGTCAACCCTTACAGGCGTCATTGCAGTGCATACTTGAACAAAACTCCATGTCGGGTCGCCATACAACAAAACCGTGACGACAAATGCCGAGAAAATCTGCGGACACTTATAGAAAGAATTCTTTGTGCTCCCAGTTCTGTCTATGTAGATGCAATTAGGGGGTTAACCCAACTTGTTTTGCCTCCCCCCCCCCCTATTCCACTTGGAAGAATGTAAATATTTCTTGTAAATATATGTACAGAGATATATATATTTGTATAGTGTATAAATAAATATTAAATTATGGGATTTATGAATGCAGTTGTCTATAAAATTGTGCGCTAGCTCACAAATATGCTCATACGTTCTGAGATTTTCTAGATAAGAGTTAGCGTTTTTCATTCTCGACGCTGCTAAGCATCCGCAGCTGGCAACGGATGACATGGAAAACTGAGAGTGAGAGAGAAAAAAAACTTTGTAGACATTGGCGTAAATTGATAAAACGTAATGAAAGCTGATAATTGCACCTAAACAGCCATTTCTTCAGCCAATCTTCTATATATGGTTTGAAGTTTGTTATACGTGGTGTCCTATAAGTATATACACTTTTGGTCATTGATAACTCGCTTGCTTTGATGCCTTGCGGAGAACTTCGGATACCATTCTGTAGAGCGAAGTTTACCTTACAAGGGAAGGATAATTGGTGACCGTGGATTTTTGCAACGGTATGTAAATCAGTAGTTAGGCTTTAGAACGCTGGTTCCAAGTCTATGTTGAATATTTGCTGTGCGACTCTGTGAAGGAAGTTAAAGACTTTTTTGCATATTGATTTTACGAGATCTATGCAGTCAGAATCGTCAGTAGTCACGCTTTCTAGACGCGGAGATATCGGGGGCAGTTTTGCTGAACTTAGCGTAAAGCATCTTTCATTTGGACGCTCTTTTTTAGTGCATAGGTGACCATTCCAGCGATATCACTGAATCCTGTTATTGAAACAGTGCAAATTTTAGTGTCAAAAAAAGTTCATAATTTCTTTTGGAAGAGCGCAAGCAGATAATTAAGACCGACTTGGATTCAGCACCTCCAAGCGCATTGAAAGTGTACGTTGCATTCTAGAAGGGCACGGTCATCAAGTATCCTTTCCTTGTTAGATTTACGTATGGAGCTAATCATTCACTTTTCTCCACTATTGTAGGGTTACGGTAGAAACTTCAAGAAGATTGTGAGACATCGAAGGCCCTATCTCGACTCAAAAAAGGGAACCAAATAAAGTGGAAATTTACACTAGGCTAATTGAAGTCGCTGAAACCAAATATTAACTTTGCATCTTATCGCAATGCTTCCTCTATAATTTATGCTGGGTAAACCGCGATGGCTGTCTTCAAAATGCTTCTGACACTATGGCTACACCGTCTGAAAAGCTTTACGTACTCTCAAAAAATTGAGTAATTGAATCAGCGCGCATAAAATCCCTCATGCACCACTTTTCAGAAATTTGAATATTTTTTAGTGAAACACGAACAATCCACAATGACGGTAAGCCAAAAGTTTCTACCGTAATCCTACAGTAATGGAGAGCGATCGGTGGCTCGCTCCAGACTGTAAATCTAAGTTGAAGCCAGGTCAACAAAAGAGTACTCAACGGCAGGCAAAAGACTTCTTGAGAAGAGAGATATTGATGATGAAACAGTAGATACATACTTTTAGTTTTACGTACTTTTATTAGGTTGTCAAGAAAATAATGTCGTTTTTCATAGCAAAGCCATAGGACAAATCCAAAAAACATTGTGAGGGGTACCAATCGATAGAGCAAAGGAAACTCTACAAGATGATATCCGAACGTTAGCAGAACTTGTTGTTTACGAAAAGATCAGAGCCAAAACATACGAGCAACTCGTAGTGCCAAAAATTGGATTTTCGCCCTAAAAAATTCTACGGGCCTCTCACTTGCTCCTGCTTGTGAAGAACACATGCATTTATCCATAGGTACACTTGCTGTATTTTTCCATGCTTAGGAACCAAGAAAAAATTGAAAAATTGAAAATGGCAAACTCCGCCCCCAGTAGTACTGGGCCCCTCCCACATATGTCTTTGTATACTACAAACCTTCGTAAATTTAACCATTAAATTTCGACTGTGGATATGCTTTACTTCTCAAGTAATATCAATTTTACACGAAAAAACCCGAAAAAAAACGACATTATTTTCTTGACAACCTAATACTTCATCTTATTGTTCTACGAGACACCCGCAGAACAAAAAGATGGAGTCGCTCAGTTCGTGTAGAGCAGTGCAAGACCTTCAGAGTATAAATTCGCCACCAAATCAAAATGACCATCAGTGTGTCTGTAGAATGACCTCTTACATGGAGCTGCTGCGCAAAATTGCTGACTGCAGTGCTCAGAAATTGCAAAAAAGCAAGGTCATTTGTGAGATAGCGTCTGAGCGCTGGATGCTTCAACAAGGTGTTGCCTGGCAGTGTTGAAGTATGGTTTGCTTACTGCGCACTACAAGGTCGTTGTAGCTTCTTTGAGAAAAATTTTATAGCCCGATGACTGCTAAAAGTTTTCTTGGAAAATCTTTATTTTGAAAGACAACTTACTACACAATTTAGTAGGATGATACAAACTCTGCTCATTGTGTAGGCATTTATTTGGTCACTCATTTTTATCAATTGCCGCAAAAAACTGAAAAAGTTTTTTCTGCTGTATTTTGAATTATCTGACCGCCAAAGAGAAAAACAGCTTCCGTTTTTTTGCAAGCATTTCTGCATTTGCTTCGCACTTAGGATTTTTATATGCTGCAGAATGATAGCAGCAGTTGTTTGGATTTGAATTGAAATTTCTCAGTCTGGAAACTTTTGAAAAATCTGATTTAATGTGCATTTTGTAGCACAGATCACATACAGACATTATGCCAGTTTTTGAAGAAATCCAAGTTTTTGCGGTGAATTTAGAGCAAAAGTACAAAAGGAGAAGACTTTAGAGTTAGCCGTGATTTCAAAAGCTTCAAAAATTCCAAGATGAATCCATTCCTCTTGAAATGAAAGCATGCTCAAGAAACTAGAAGAAGAATATTTTGAGATGACATGCATAGTTTTCTGAGACAGTAGAATCTTGTTTTGAACTAGCATGTTGAATAAGAGGTTTGAAAAATTTGCATGATTCTATTACCACCTATTACAATGATATCGAATTTAGAAAAAACGGAAAGGCGGTGCGGGTGCGCTTGAAAATGTGCTCAACCAGACCGTGTACTTGTCATCGTAAATGCCCGTTCCAAGTGCCCCTTCACTTACACATTATAGTATCATATCCGCTTTTGAAGGTCTTCAGAGTGGCTAGATACTCTCATGGTTAGCTCCAATCTCGGAAATCTCTTTCCGTTGTATTAGGTTGTTGCATAAGTTCTGTCCGATTTGAATTTTTTGAGTTCAAAATGTCATAACTTCTTTCAAAGTCAACTTTTTTCCAAGATCTCAGTTTCGTTGTGTTGAGCAATTTCTTAGCTATCAGATTCATATTGAAGCCTGCGAAAATCCATGTTAAGCAAGAAGCAAGAACTTAAAAACTTTACAGCGTTTTTTTTCAAACTTGTCTTTTATGACATGGCAATGCTCCTTTATGAGAATTGATAGGCATATTGTCTAACAATGGATAGATAAAGAATTTTTCGTAAATTATTCTTCGCCATAAAAGAGCCCATAGGGTCTGGTTGCCGAGATATTTTTTTGACCGAATAAAAAATAGCCACTTTTTGACCTCGCTTCAGCGCATGTGTGCATGCCTATTTACGAGTTATGAAAAATTTACAGTTAACGTGAGCGCCGGAAAGACATTGGTGGATGGGCTCTGCTAGCTCTTGTTTTGCCCTAGCACCTGCAACTTTGAAGTCGTCGATTACTTCTATTCGCAGAAAGGTATAGCTTGTAAAACATCTTTACAGAAAATTAAGTTCGACGACAAATTTCACCAGCAAGACGGTTTCTTCATGGAACCGAACTTAGGCGTATATTAGCCTTCTACACCCTTATTCCGGAGCTAATGAAAGAACTTGACTTAAAGAGCGCATTGTGGAGATTTCCTCGCAGGAACATATTTCTAGGGTTGGAACGTACCTCGGCCACTTGGAGGTTTTAGGCCTGAAATCTCCTTACATTACATTTATTAAAATTTGATATGCTTTATAAAGCGCAAGAAAATCACTTTCTAATGGTAGTAACAATATCGCATTTGACAAGAAGTTCTCTTAGAACAGCTGTTTCAAACATAAGGCAAAAAATCGGACAAAACTTATGCAACAACCTAATAAAAATGCAATTCAAAATTATTCCTAAATCACGATTTTTCTGAAATATGGATCATTATTTAATTTCTCAACAAGAAAGACAGTTACATAGCCTTTTTGGTTTTTCACAAGTGTATTTTTCATTTCGCATCCATTACATTCAGCTTCATCTGGTGTTGTTCGCATCGCATCGTTGCGCAATTCTCAGAGCAGAATAAGCTTTGTCGGCCGTTTCTTTGATCTGTTGCACCTTCTTATGCAAGCTATCCAAACAGTAAATTCTTTGTCCGGTAACATCTACTTGCTCTGAAGGACTTTTTTACAAGGTCATGGGTAGTTTCGCTCTGATGGCATAACAAATTCAGAGACTGTTCAAGTGACTCCAACGTCTCATCGTCTATGTACCCTCTTTACTAAAGATCTTGGTTCATGAA